TTTCTATTACTTTGTAAAACTAGTTACAGGTACTTCAATTGCAAAAGTTGCCAAATTTATAGTTGCTAGAACTATTTAATTTTCTCTCAGTGTAGAAATTAAAATTATGTTGTTTAGAGATTTTTTTTGTTGATACTAACATTATCCTCTCCATTTTTCAGAAAAATGTTGTCTAATCAAATGTCGATACCCATATAGCACAGAATTTGCAGCAATATCGCTGCAAAATCTTTGCAATATTGCTGCAACTTTTGTGCAACTTTGTGCTATAAAGGTATACTCTTTATCAATAGTCGTTAAATCGGAATCGCGCGAGCAACAGTAGATGTTTTCCAGCAAGAGATACAAATGACATAAGTGAAGTAGCTATAACACAGGAATCGTATTTTTATTTGCCAATCCCTGTTTGCCAGTGTTAAACAAAGATGAAATAATTCATTATATCATCTATGTCTCTTGTTGGAAAGGATTCAAATATTACGTATCAGCGAATCGAGAGAAGAAAAATTCAGAGGAAGATATCGGCGCGATTGCACCAGACTGCACCGCGAGATCGCACTGCGTGCGTTGGAAAACTCAGGAACGTGACGTCATCGGACAGCGCGCGATAAGGCGGAATCGCGCGCGTATCGTGCGCGTCGGTCGACAGCTTGCTTGTCGAAGAGGGACGAGGAGACGAAGGGTGACAGTGATTCGAGCATGCGCGTTGGCGCGCTGCTGTCGATGGTCGACTGTATCGAACATGGCCGTCGCGAGCGTGATACCGTCGAAGATGCGCGAAAAATGACGGGTTTTTCGCGCTCCTGACGGCGCGATCGTACGTGCGCCGACGAGGAAGAGTGTCGAGCGAATCTTTCTGCCGCGTCGTGAGAACGCGACGGCGGTGCCTCATCACCATGGCGTTGGTCACAGTGCAGCGTTCCCCGAGCGTGTCCAGTTCCCCGCAGAGTTCGGTGAGTTCTCGCGCGTTGCCTCCTCGTTTCTCGCGCGCGCGTACGCGCCTCGCGTGGCCGCCGGCGCGTCGTGCCGTCGGCGACGTCGGCGTGTCAGTTGTCGAGATCAGCCATCGAGTATCACGTTATATCGCCGCCCGGGAGTCGCGAGCGACTCGACTCCGCGCGACACACAATTTCGCCCGGTTGTGGTTCAGCTCCGCTCGGCTCGGCTCCGTTCGCTGGAGCTCGACCGGCTTATGCCTTATTTGGCGGTGCACTGACAGCCGTGCGAAAAAGGGAATTCAGAGAGAGAGAATTCAGAGAGTTCCTTCTAACTACGATCGTCGCGACGCGCGACCCTTCGACCCTGGATCGTGGTCGCCGGTGCGGAAAGCGCGCCGAAACAAAGGGATTCCGTAGGGTAAACAAATGTAGGTGGATGGGTAGACAGATTGCCCGCTCGCTCGCTTCGCTCGGAATCCTACGGCTCTCGTCCTCGATACGCGGAGGCTCCGGCTGCGCGATCGCGGATCGCGTCCCGAGGAGATTGTGTTGTTACACGACTTTTTGTTTCCCCGCTTCATGCTTTCGCTTTCCGTTCACACGATCGTCATCGATAGGGGGGTTCTCTCACGCGGTTAAAGGCGGCTCCGCATTCAATTGTCAGCGGTACCGAGTATTTATTGATGTTCGCGGTGGCACTTTCTCAATATCGAAGAGTTCTGAGTAAGATGGGAAAGTGGAAGGACGCGAATCTTTCCTTCTCTTTTCTTTTCTTTTCCTTGTTATGAATGATTAAATCCTTTCGTTACACTGATAATAGTAGACACGATCTTATGATTTCTCTTCTTAGAACAGTGCAATGATG